CCTCCCGCCCGCCTCGGGTACCTTTTCTCCTGCTTAAAAAATCTCACTTTCAGGAGATCCACCCCAGTTTACCAGGGCAGGCAGAAGTCGTTTTGCTCGCGGCCTAACCCAGGGTCTGACATATAATGGATGTTTAATAAGCGTTTCTGAAGTGCCACCACAGACTCCCAGATTACGTGTATAAAATGCAGTCAGAATGCACAGAGACACAGTACATCACAAACATTCAAACAATTCTCATGTTCTCAGAGAATGTGAGACATCTGTCACATTGTAGCAGGTGACTATAAACTTGCCTATAACAGCTTGTAGACAAATTACAGCTGCTAAAATACATATAGAAACAGATGTACACAATTGTTCCTTCAATAAATATTTACTGGGTTCCTACTATGTGCCAAGTAAATATATACATACATACATACATACATACATAACAGTACAATCAGTGCAAGTAGACAGACATTAATTTTTTTTACATTTTATAAATGAATCACAGCGTGCACACTGCACGATCACATGAGAACATGCCCAAAGCAGATATAACATCAGGCTTATTATATACACAAACCTATAACCCAGGTCCTCCCAGAGACAGGGGAAGATCTTCCCTCAGATCAGCTTATCAGACAGATGCAAGGCTAAGGGGATCTCACTGGTCAGGAGATCTGGGTGCTCCTGGATCCTGAAACACAGAGAATGTTTGGCATCCCATTGGGCTCAGGAACTGACCTGTGTGCAAGACTGCAGCACCCTGCAGAACATCCAGCTGAAAAACTACCCAATGCATTTTTTAATGATTACTTTTAAACGGTATAACCTGAACACATGGTAGTAAAACTTCAAAAAGTACAAACGGTACAGTGAAAAGTAAGTTTCCTTTTCTTCTCAAACCCCATCTACTTTCAATAAATTCTGGATGGATGGATGACTGGTTGAGAGTAATGGGGGGAAAGGGAGAACACAACATCAAATTTGTGAAGCCCTCGCTCCAAGTAAATGATAAATATATACTTAAAAGAAAATGCCACAGTTATTTTGAAACACATAACTCAGGAGAGAAAGTATTGAAATACCATACAGATTTTTAAGGTTATGGGGTTAATCCCATACAGGATAAAGAAAGACAAATAGACAAAGGAAACGGGATGGGTCATTCAAATAAAGTCAGTTTGAGATTCCACATTTTTTCTCCCCCTTTCCTGCCCCCTCACTACTTTAGCAATCAAAATTCCATCGCCAAAGATTAAATTGCAAGCTTCAGGGCCCCAGCCACGGGGAGGCCTTCCCAGTCCTGGCTGCAGTGTGCACAGGGAAAAGAACAGGAAGAGGGAGGCTGCTCCAACATTCCTTTGGGACAGCCCTTTAAAAAAATGCTGTTTTAAGTACCTAGGACCCAAACCTTCCTTAAAAGACAAAATGAAACTGTGTTCCTGTGCCCATCAGGGGGCAGCAGCCACCCACAGTGTGAAGGAGTTTCGTGCCTCAGGAGAGGCTTACAAGGCCGCTGATGGTTTTTATGCTTCTTAAATTTCAGACCTGGCTCCCCAGCTCAGTCTCCCAGCCTCAGCCTCAGCCCCATCCCCTCCTATCCATTCATATCAGGGACACCACATGGTTCTTCAATCAGGAATATTTGCTCATCCATCTACCCAGGACACATGCAGGGTTCTTTATTAAATAGCAGGAGTCTTGGTACCCTGCACCACACCAGCAACGCCGCTTCCAGGGGAAATAAACTGCTGGCCTCTCTGTCATCCATCACTGTGCAGGAGCCAGGAAAGGAAGTACAGAGGCCGGGGCTGTTCTCAGCCAACCTCTCCAAAAGCTCCATCCCTCTGGCTGCACTCCCCCTTGCAAGCCAAACCTTCCTATATCACTGCACAGTTTTTGTTCTTAACACTTCTCACAGTTGTTATTAGTTACTTGTTCTATTGTAATTATTTACAAGAGTAACTCTTTAATGTCTGCCTTCCCCCAAAGACCTTCAACTTTCCAAGTTCAGGGCTAGCATCACCTTGTTCACCTCTCTGGTCCCAGCACCTAGCACATTGTAAGCATTCAATAAAATGTTTTAAAGAAATTGAATGAGTGAAGATGAGTTTGTCTGTCAGTCCCCTACAGTACTAAGAATTGGAAATGAAGGGTGTATGCATTAGGATGACCTGGACTCCTCTGGAAAACCCGCTTTGAGTAAGGGCTGAGTTATGAGGCAAAAGGGAAGGGTTGTCTCACCAAAGTCTCAGCCTCTTTGTAAAGTCAAAGGTAATTCTTTGGAAAAAGTGTTGGAGCTGGTGAACAACCAGCTGTATTCCTTGGCCCACCTCCAATCTCACCAGCCCCATTCAGAGCTTCCAGACAGAAAAGCTGTGTGTGAGTGTGTGTGTGAGAGAGAGAGAGAGAGAGAGAGAGAGAGAGAGAGAGAGAGAGAGAGAGAGAGAGGGAGAGGGAGAGGGAGAGAGGGATTGACTGGAGTATATGGAGCTTGGACTGCTTTGTCGGGAGATGTGTGCATGAGCCCAAGAACCCTGATGGGAAGAGTGAATGAGCAGCTGGCAAGGAAAGAAGGAAGAGATGGCAGAGAGAAGTTGACTATGGGCAGTGGCAAACAGCAAGCGCTACTTCCATGGTACAAAGCAGCTCTGATGCTGGGGCTCTACAGCCACCAGGACACCAGTGAGAAATGCCTGTAATTAGGAAGCTGACAGTTCTCTGGGCCTCAGCCCAGAGTGACGATGCAGTAAGAATTTCTGAGCCAAGCTGAGCCAGGTGATGGAGGAGACACAGTCAGAAGCACTCCAGTCCCATCCCTCAGCCATGCCTACCCAACCTCCTCTCATCTTCTTCCCTAATATGACCCCTCACTCCCCAAACACCTCATTGACTCCCCTCTTCCTTCTGAGGTCCCAGGCCCTCGCCACTCCTCTCAGCCAAAACAGATCTTCATGTGTAAGGAGAGCAGTGCTCTAATTCTTCTACTAGTGCACTGGATCTGATTTCCCTGCCAGCTTCCCTCTTGGCTCCCTCCCTTCCCTTCTCAAATCCTCATGAGCCCATGGACAGAGTTGGAAGAAAAACCACTCCTGTTTCTGTTTTTGCACTTCAAGCCTAGTATGTGTGCCCCTGGAGGTCTCCCTGTGATGTACAGGACATCTGCCAAAACACTGCCAGATTTTCATTTTCAAACCTAATTTATGACCCTGTTTTAGTGCCACTCTGAACTTCCCGCATTTTAGCAAAATGATAAATGCATGCTACAGAGCTCAGAGCCAAATGCTCTGGACGAGGGAGGGATTACAGAGCGCTGGTGGTTTGGATGTATTCAGAGGTCTCTGCACTGTGAGTCCTGCTTTGGTAGGTAGGATGCCGCTGGGGTTTGGGGAAGACAGGCTTTCTTCAGGGAGGATCTGCACCTATGGGAGATAAGCATCCTGCAGAGGAAGAAGGGTTGTGAGTCCAACTTTGACAGGGCGCTGTTGGTAGGTGGAGCATGTGTGAATTCCTCTGGGAATGTGGCAGGAAGATTGCTGGGGCTCCCAGCTCAAGGTGATCAAGCCCTTGATATGTGTATCAACATTTCCACAAGAACTTTACCACGAACTAGTTCCTAGCCCCCTGCCCACCAGGACCTGAAGCCAGGCTCCTAGGGATGCAGGCATTTCCACCAAAGACTATAGTTTCTGCCTCACCTCTCAGGACCATGCTCCATCTCTGAAAAAGTCACTTCCCAGAGAGTCAAAGGGTGTTCAAGGAGTTGCTCCCAGGACCCTCACTCATTCCAAACACAGGACAAAACTTGCATTTGGATGTGAAGGTTGCTGGGGCCCGAGATGGGCCCACTCCACCCAAATGCTACTTCTCTTCCAGTTTCTGGCAGAACCCCTGCTGCTGTTGCCTCGCCTAAGCTTTTCCAAGAAGGTCAGACTTTTCTCCTCTGAAAATATTTTATTGATAAATTAACTCTGTTAGCCTTCACCTCCCACCCAACAGCTGTAGAGTCTCCTAGATGGGCCATGGACCCTTCTATAGGGAAGGGTCATGTGGAGAACATGGAGTCTCACATAGGGGTGGGATTCCTGGGCATGGCAGAGGTGGGTATGGGGACCGAGGACCATCCGGAGGTCTTCTGAGGATAGCCCCTCTCACTCAGCACCGGAGTGAGAAGTGGTGGTCAGGAGTGGAGCACCTTGGAGCTTTATTGCTGGTGAATGCCAAGGAAAGCGGGACCCCTGCCAGCCTAGAATCTCAGCTGAGGGCATCAGCACCCAGGGCCCGAGAAGGTGGCACTAATTCCCAATCAACAGAGCCTGGCTGCTGACCCACCCACCCAGGAGCCCCTGGATGGGGAAGGAAACAGGGAGAGGTATCTGAGCCAGGCAGGGCTGGGGGTGGGTTACAGTGTGCAGGTCTTGGGCAGAGCGGGCGCCAGAAGGGGGCGTATGCCCGGGCACCGACGGGGCTTTCTTTTCACAGGTCTATGGTGTCGCTGCCCATGCTCAGCTCGTCGATCTGTCGGCAGGCGTCCAGGAATTGCTCCTGCAGCAAGGCCTCTTCGGTCTGCAGCTCAGAAGCAGGCTCTGGGGAGTCGCGGGAGGATGCGGACAGGGCCTGGTAGGATCCTGAGGCCGGGAGGCTGGGGCTGCTTCCTGAGGGCCGCGGGGGGCTGAGCACGCAGACGAGCGGGCAGCGCGGGGGCCTGTCTGGGCTGGAGCAGAGCAGCATGGACGAGCTGTCCCGGGAGAGTCCGCACAGCGAGCCTGACGATGCGCTACTGCCGGCGGGCCAGGCCCGGGGAGAGGAAAGCTCCAGGGGCGCGGGGGCGCCCCGGGCCTCCCCGGACCTCCCACTGGGCCCAGCCCCCGTCTTTTTCCCCAGCGAGCCGGTGCTGCGGAGGCCGAGCCCAGGCAGGGCTTCCCCGAAGGCAGGGCCCTGGAAGAGGCCGGGCGCGAGCAGGGCTTCGCTGCAGAGGGCCTCCTCGATGCTGCGCCGCAGGTTGATCGGGGAGGGCGGGCGGAAGTCCACGGTGCAGTCGCTGCAGGGGGAGGAGGCCGGGGAAGGGGCGGGGTTCGCCGCCGAACCCTCGAAGCCCCGGCAGGTGCCTCCCTGCAGCAGGAGGTCAGGGCCCGGCCCAGCCAAGGCGCACAGCTGCAGCAGCTCTGCGTCGCCACGCGCGATGGCGCTGCCCAGAGGCTCCTTGTCCGGGGGCCCGGTGACCCAGCGTCCGGGCAGCAGCGGAGCCGCGTGGCCCGGGGACAAGCGGAAGAGTTTGGCCCAACAGCGCGGCGGCACGCGGGAGCTGCAGAGCGCGGGGTAGAGGCCCAGCAGCGCCAGCGGCAGCGCAACGCCCACCTCGCCCAGGCGCAGGCC